AGGACTGTACCACCTCTCCCCTCACAGAGTGGCCCCAGGACTGTACCACCTCTCCCCTCACAGAGTGACCCCAGGACTGCACCACCTCTCCTCTCACAGAGTGGCCCAAGGACTGTACCACATTTCTCCTCACAGAGTGACCCCAGGACTGTGACAGCCAGCAGCTTCCTCTCTGTTCACTCTGCTCAGCTGCCCTGCTGGGGCCCAGCACTGACTCTCTATCAGCAGCTCACAAATAGCCACACGGTGAAGGAACAGGCAGCAGGAGAAACCACACCGCGCTGCTGTGTGACTGAAGAGAGAAGCAGACTGGTGGAAACCGCAGGTAGAAGGCCTGCTCAGCGGTTATTGCTTGTTTTAAAAAAGCAGCTTTGTTCTTAAACATCTGGCTTGAGACCTGCAAATACAAGATGGAGGCTGTTGTAACTACAAAGTCTAACTATGTTTTGATAATTGTAAGTCACCCTGAATTAATTGTCAGCGCACTGTGTGAATAAAAATGAAGCATCAATAGAACTGGCTTGTTGACATTAAAATAACAAAGACATTTGTGGGCTTATCAGGCAGAGCAGGGCAGAACCACTGTCCGAGGGGAAAAAAAATATCCCCTGAAAGAGAACCATTTCAAGATCCTGCGGGAGACAGGGGCACCCTCCTCTTGGGCTGAGGACAAAGGAGACGAGGAGACCCAGAGGAACAATGGCTTGAAAAGCCTCCGCGAAAGAGCTGCCGATAGCCCACTCAACACAGATGGGGAGGACTGTGAGACCCCCTGTGAGAACAAAATGGAGGAAGGAGTAGGCTTCTGCAGAGACATCCCTTTCTAACCCTCAGCAAGCCCAGTGTGCTCCCCTCAGTCTCCAAATGACAGACGTTACATTTAAGGCAAGTCTAAGACTTTAATCTATCACTGCTGTCCGGGTAAGCTATAAGCAATACTGGCAAAGCCTTTTAAAACTCCACCATGCCAGTGAAATTAACATTCATGTGTACTAATGTCAGGGGGCTAAGAGACAGAGTGATAAGACAAGAAGTCTTTCACTACTTGGCCTCCGTGCGGTTCTCAGTATGTGTCTTACAGGAAGTCCACCTGTGGGATGCAGGTGACAAGCGGGAGTGTACGCTGGAGTGTAGGAAGAGTACGCTCTTCCGGAGTGGGAATCTTCCTGGAACATCGAGATATGAAGCTAAGGGTCACATTCTCTGTGGTGTGGTGGTCACAGACATTGACTGGAGAGGCCAGAAGCTGAGAGTGATTAACATCTACGTTCTGACGGAACCCTTGAAACGGAAGGAAATGCTCAATGACCTGGCCAGCTGCTGCTCGTGAGTACCCACTGCAGGCCAGGTTCAGATTAGTGCTGCATGGAATGCTCTTCTAGTCCATCTGGAGAGGTAGATGTACCGAGTACCAAGAAACAGGATGTGTCAGGCGGTTGAGGAAGGGGGGAGGGACATGCCACATTGCCCCTCGACTGCATCTGATTATGCAACCTCTGTCAGGAGCTGCAGGACTCCATAAGCCTCAAGTACCAGTTCATCGTCAGGCTATGGTTCTCCATCCTGATGAGGCCCCTGATCCAGTGGTCAAACACTGGACCAAAAGCAGAAAAGCAACCAGAGACCTACTGTACACCCACACTGTCAACTGGAGCCAGAGGTACAAGGCTACGAGACAGCCAGAGCTCTGTACCGACCACAGGGCCCTGTACAAAGAGGTGAAAGAGCAACAGGTCACTGAAGAAACGCTGCGGGTTCCCAGAGAAATCTGGAAAAGGATGCTGTCAATGGAACTGGACAACAAACTAAAGGACCTAACTGGATGGCCGTGCACCAGAGGCTGGTGTTCAGAGTGGTCCTTTACATGCACTCGATCATCAGGAACCCACATTGCCCCCGGGACACATGTTTCATGGAGGAGACGCAGGAGCATGCGTTCTGGAGCTGCCCCTTCACAAGGAGGTGTGGGGCAAGACTATGCAACACCTGGGAGTGGAAACAGTGCTAAACTATCAGTTCATCCTGCTGAGGCTGGCACTAACCAGATTGGATAGAAGGGCACAGTACCTGCCATGGGTGCTGGTGTCCCTCACATCTCCCTCACAGAGTGAAACCAGCACGGCCCACAGGACTGGACACTGACAGGAGAGCTGGACCACAGCTGCACTGCCTGAGGACAGACAGGGACAGGAATTGTGCTGACCAGTATAGTGGACAGTGGGAATGGGAGAGACTGAAGAGACATCGGATGATTTTATACAGACAGACTGAGGGACAGAAAGATAATCTACCAGTCATCCGAGAGGAATACTAGAGGTTTTAACCATCAAGACAGAGAGAAAGAGTAATTTCTCAATAATGTCATTTTAAAATATTTTTGGTACTTGATTTAAAG